TTCCAGATTGATCATCTAAAATTAGTTAAAATCGTTTTGGTGAGGTTTGGGGGACCAACTTAGAACCACTGAACCAGCTTAGGCTGGGTCTGTGTTCAAAAGAGTATAAAGCTGTGTAAAGTTAAGTAAAATGAAATAAAATGAAATAAAATGAAATAAATGTTTTGATACAAAGAATAGACTGGCTAGTGCTAGAATCTGATTTATGAGCATCCTGTTGTCTTGGGCCTCTGTGGAATTCAGCTCCTCGTGTTTCAACTGTTCTTTATCAAATCTTAAATTGTCTGATTCGGTCTGATACCCTACAAAATAAATGATCAAACAAAAAAAAAAGTGATTAAAGAATGAATGAATGAATAAATAAATAAAAATATAACGGTATAAAGCTATGTTTGAGTAGAAATCATATTGACATTTTTGACTTCTGATGTCAGACTGTGACATCTTGGCGAATCTGAGCACAATCTGAAACATTGAGATCTCTTCTGAAACTCTAGAGGAGATACATGTGATGTTTCTTTTTCTTCTCACAGAAGAAAAATTTGAGAAGCATGGAGAAATAATCAAAAGATTCCATCTATATGATTGTTAATTTAATTATGAATCTGTCTTTCATGTGTCTAAGACAATATAAGTCTCTGATTGTGCTGATAAATATATTGGACATAAACAGGGTTTTATACAGTTTAATGCAGTGGAAATCGTATTTCTGCTGTCTTCAGTACAAGGTGTGTGCGTGAAATGGACTTCCTGCTATGGAGAGTCATGCCTGGTTGGCTGTATTATGCAATTTCATTATCATATGGGCCATGCATCTCACATCACATTTATTACAGCAGATAAATAGCTCAACACAGTTTAACAGATGGCAAGGACAGATACAGCAAGGAGATTTACTCTGGGTTTCTTCTGTAGGTTAAAGCCAGTATGAGACGTGCACGTTTAGGAATGTGTGTATGTGCATCTCACCTGACCGGCAGCCAGCCAGCCATATTTGTCTTCTGTAAGATTCATGTCACGGTTGAAAGCATATAGCTGTCGGTATCGCAGATGCTCAATGTCCACAAGGTTGAACAGGCGACGGGCATAATAGTAGCTCTCGTTGTTTCCTTTTCTGGGAAAGTCAAGCCATTCTGGATGGCCGAACTCGTTACCTGGAGAAAGAATATTTTGAAAAATGAAGATTGCAAAAGCTGGTGAAAGCTTTTATCAAAACAAGAAAACACACCCCAAAGCATTTTCAGGTAATTTTGTGTGTTATGAAAATATTATAACTTGCATCCCGTACAGGTCCTTTTCACATGAGCTTTTCTTACACTGCACTGTTTTTAACTAAATAAGATTTATTTTTAATTTTACCAGCATTACTATGAATGCTTGGCCATCAACAGGCAGAAAATCAGCCTTATATAAAGATCTCCAAGGAAAGTTCAAATGCATTGTCATTCATTCATTCATTCATTCATTCATTCATTCATTCCTTTTATCTAGGAATTTTAGTTTTGATACAAAAAATATCTTTGATATAAGTGACAGAAACTTGTAGTTGTGTTGTCTTGTTGGAGTCTTGTTGAAGTTTATTTAACAATACAAGAATTTACATGAAGGAACAATAAATAAATAATAGTATTTAATACTTTAAGCTATGTAAATATAACTACACATTACATATAACATTATAAATAAATAAATGAATAGATGGATAGATAGATAGATAGATAGATACTGCTTTAAATTATGTAAATTCTACTACTACAAATGATGATAATAATAATAATAATATAAACATTATTACAAATATTTTAGCTAAAAATAATTATAGAATAATACTTTATATAAAATACAAATAATAATAAATAATACTAATACTAATAGTAAAAATAACAACAGCATCATAAATAATGAGAACAAGAAGGGTTAAAGTAATTTTATTTACAACAAAATAAATATTTTCTTTTTGATGATCTTCTCTTCCTGATCAAAACAGCATTGCTTTCTCAATTAAAGCATGTAGCTAATTTTATACTAATGAGTCATTTCATAGACATTCACTGATTAAAATGAAATGAAAAAGAGCAGCAGCTGAAAAGGACATTGAGTCAGTGAAGGATCCATGGCAGGAAGAAGAAATAAAAAGAGAGAAAGAAAGAGGGAGAGTATCAGAGCAATCAAATCCCTCAGCTTCCACTTGAACTTTACTTAATGTGCATTGGGACTTTCTGCGGCAAATAATTCAGATAGAGTCATATCATTTGTCAACTGGAGAGAGACAGAGCATAGGCTGGCCGTGGCGGATGCTCGCACAAAGAACCATGACAGCTCAGACTCCATAATTAAACGAAGAGAGTGAAGATGACGAGACACTTTGTCTCTCTTACGGCTCCTGTCACCTCCGTCATACGTCTTATCCTGCCGCCCCATGCGCTGAATACAGACACAATGATAAGGGACGTCCACAGCTCTTCACCTGCACTATATTAAGATAATCTTAAATTATTCAATGCTTGCACTGATGCAGTACTCCTGAAAGTTATGGGACAGCACTGAAAAGAGCAGTTTAGGCCCAACACATCTGCTGTTTTTCGACAGAATGGATCTCCCAAGTGAAAGTTTAGCTTGAGTGAATTAAAACGCTCCATAGATTCTCTGCCTGCACAAAATCCTGCAGTTGTATGCATGAGTCTTTTTGAGAGATGTATAAAGCTCACTTCATACCACCGGTTGATTGACAGGTAAGAGGGGTCAAACTGTATCTTTCGAAGGTTAGATCAATATGGTAGCTATAACTTGGCAGCATATAAGGGAGATGGATTTCAACAAGGCCCGAAGGACTGCTGCTGTCCAGGCGCAGGTTTTCTTTTTTTCGTACAGCTGGGAGCAATTGCTACAATCTATAAATTGAAACGTTACAGAAGCAAAAGTAGAACTGTACATTTTCTGAAGAAAACGCCCATGCAAAACTCAACTGTGCAGCAGTAAGGTTTTGTGGTCTGACAAGTTTTAAGTGTGTTGCTATGTGGTTGCCAAGTAGTTTGAAGAATTGAACTGAGAATGCCTTTTAAATTACAGTTTCATTTGAGGTGACAAACAGGATGAATAATTGCAAGACGAATTAAAATTAAAATTCATATTGCTTATTTTCAACAGCAAAGATTGTCAGAACAAACACGGAATGTTGGTTTGACAATGCCTTGAACGTTTTGGAAAAGTTTAAAATCCATTAAGTTTAAAGGTTTATAAACTACTGACTGAAAGTTTGGGGTTGGTATGATTTTTTAATGTTCTTGAAAGAAGTATCTTATGCTCACTAAGGCTGTATTTATTTGATCAAAAATAGAGTAAAAACTGTAATATTGTGTATAATTTTAAATTACTGAATTATTTTTCTATTTGAATATATTTTAAAATGTAATTTATCCATGTGACTGAATTTTCAACAGACATCACTCCAGTCTTCAGTGTCACGGTTCTTCAGAAATTATTCTAATATGTTGATTTGCTGCTCAAGAAACATTTATTATTATCATTGTTGAAAATGACAGCTTAATATTTTTGTGGAAACCGTATTACAATTTTTATTTTAGGATTATTTGATGAACAGAAATAATTCATTTGAAAATTTATTGTAAAAAAATTACAGCATTTATTTGAAATAGATTTTTTGTAACAATGTAAATGAGTATTACTTCCTTTTAAAAAAATTTAAAAAATGAATGAATGAATGAATGAATGAATAAATAACTAAATAACTAAATTCTTTCTTTTTTCCCCCAAACCTTTGAACTTGTAGGCCTTACGGACAGAATGATATAAAACAACAGAATATTAGAACTGTAAAACAGTTTATTTAGATTAGACAGACAGACAGACAGATAGACATATAGATAGATAGATAGATAGATAGATAGATAGATAGCTGATACATACAAAAAGTCACATTTTGCATTTGTTTGTATAAGTCACAAGAGTGCATTTAGACAACAAAACAGCAAGATCAAAAGCATCGGGCCACAACCATGCAGTTTCCCAGTGAGACCTTCTGAATAGGACAGAGTCAGATTTGTCAATTAGTGTAAGCATACTATTTTCATTTTTGATTAGGCAGTCCAGCCTCAAGTAACCACACAAAGAGCATGCATGGCACACACACTTCCCTTTTAAGTTTTTCACTAAGCCCATAATCTGATCTGACGTGCAGTGATGTTTGAAGTCAAGTTTCTCTTTGGTAACTATAGTGTGAGGCCAAAGATCCTGGTGAGCAGCAATGGGATTTAAATAGTTTGCATGAAAAGCCCTCCAAATCAACCCATAAATAAGAAATTTACTTCTTTTTAGCTCTCAATCTCTTTCATGTGTAACAAGCTGCAAGGTGGAGATTAGATGGTCTCTGAGTTCAGTGTCAATTTGAAGTCAAAGAAAGAAGCTCTTGCTTCACTGTTAAAGATAATGTGACTTGTATGCGGCCCCAGTAGAGCCGGGACTAACAGATGAGGCTAACAGAGGCTCAGTCTGGATTATGGCCAGAGAATAATAAAAAAAAAACCACACATAGACATATAGTGTTCAAACAGTACAACATGCTTTTTGAGAATGATGTGCATTTTTCAATGCATGTTAGGTGAGGAATATTAAAAGTATGTGATGATAAATGAAGTGTGACTAATTAACCTCATTCAAAGCTACCTGTTACTTTTGAATTACCTCACCAAACAACATGTAATTAATTGCACGCTTCCAACTTTCTCCACACATCTAATTGGCTCTGTAGGATATTATGATCAGTCAAGTGTATCTGGAAACCAAATTCAGATGAATATAAAAAGCATTTAAATTTTATTTAAAAAAAGTGTCACACCAATTTCTAAGTCTGAGGATTTTTTCTTTTTTTTATGTTAATATCTTAAAGAAGGAAATGAATACATTTCTTTCATTGTCATTTGAGATATATCTATGTATAAGAAATAATAAAAGTGTTTGCCTTGGTAAACACCACTGAATATGCTAATTCCATACCTTTATACAAAAATATGCTTATACATACAAAAATATACTTTTTGGATTATTTTTGTGACAGTAACAAGAGGCATATTCAGACAACAAAACAGTAAGATCAAGACTCTTTTGCACCACAAAGGCCACGACCTTGCTGTTTATTTCTGCCAAAATGACACCCCTAACTTCTGTCTTAATAACCAGGAGGCAACTTTAGCTGGATGCTTTTAAACATATAGTTTGTGTGTCTGGTTGCTTTTGTTTA